GAACTACAAAGATATGAAAAAATTAATTTAATCAAGGACAGATATCATTTAGTTTCACCTTCGCTAGACAATAAAAAAAAATTGCCCCCGAGTGAATGGCGATGTAATGAAGAATATAGTACAAGTTTATTCATATGGATTGCTGAGTACGTTGAGAGACTCATCTCTCTCGTACGGCTTGAATTATTCCTAAAGTTCAGCGTTCCATAGCAATCTTCTCTGACATAAACGTACGCGTAGACCTACTCAAATTGTACTCGATGAAAACACGGTCATCACCACCTAGAGGGTGTGTGATGAAGTTCGAACTTTCTTAATGAATCCATACTAAATAGAGTATGCTCTGTTGAACGCTAGAATTTTATCCTTCTTAATTAGGAGATTCTCCTTCTCAATTATTTTTTATTTTATTGCGACGATGTACAGTCAAGTCCTTTGTAGATTATTTCGTGTATTGCACAACATGCGCGGTATTTCACGACTTTTATGCATAACTGCTACCATTTTGAAAATCTCTTTTCTTTTTGTTATTTTTATTGAGTGTAAATAGATGAAACAGACTTAAATAATCAAACATACAAGCTTGTTAGCAGATTCATCTGTACGGTTTTCCTTACCGTATACCTGTAGGTGGCCGAGAGATGCAGTGCACGTTGTGCAATCACACATCTTAGATTCAGAACGGTTCCTGAATAAACAAATTAAAATTTTGCATGCTATAGTAGCCTCTAGATACGTCTAATTTTTTCTGCATTACATATATGATCACAAATTTGTGATTTGTGTATTGCACAACATGCGCGGTATTTCACGGCTTATATGCTTACATGTTACAAATTTTGAGGACTTCGTTTTCTTTCTTCCTATCTTTTCGAACAAAAGTCGCAAGAATGGACAAAAAAGTGTAAGTAATTTGGCAAGTTATGTAATGAACGATAATTAATCAGTTTTTTATGAGAAGGCAGCGTGAGATGCATTGCATGTTGTGCAGACAGTGCACAAGTAGTCGTAAAATGCAGTGCGCGTTGTGCAATCTCACAAGTTGAGTTCCAAAAGGCATTATACTCTAAAATCTTGCAGACTACAGCAATCAAATATTATATATTTAGACTAAAAAAAGAAGAAAATCTCATTTATTTTATTTTATTTTCCTTGTTCATTTTATCAATTACGGTGCATCTTAAGTGTGCTGAAAAATACTATAAAAGTAAAAAATTTCTGGACATGTAAGCATTTTTAAAATCTTTTTTGCAAATTTGCAAACCAGCTACGGTAACCTCGCCTGATACTGTAGCTGAGACATTTTTCGACCATTTTGCAGCCGAATGATATGAAAAAGGTGGGGCTAAGTTAACGAATTTTTCTGAAAAATCGACTCAGCCTGACACAAGTCCATGTTAACGAGCTCGACGGCTTGGAAAGTGCAAGAAGCAGCATCAGCGCACATCCATCCAATATCAAATAATCCACTTTTGGTACATATACCTCACTTTTTCAGCTATTTCTTTAGAAAAGCTGCATACTTAATCGAATAACGTTGTAAATGTTGAAAATTATTGCTCAATTTGCTCGACTTCATGTGCAGAATTTTTCAGAAAAAAATGAACAAGATAATCTCCAACATGCGGTTTTCCAGATGTACACTACTTTATTGCAGATGGACGTTTCAAGCTGTCAAACTTCAAGGTTATTGCTACTCTCCCCCCTCCCCCCCCCCCCCCCGCCCCCTTCGTAAAAAAGCAGTTGTTTGAGCTTCTCCTCAGAGTGTTGAAGAGGTTCATTGAGCTCAACGATAATTAGAGGTTTTCAACGTCTCAGCGCGGCGCTAGTAGGTGTCAATTTTGAACGTCATTTTCTATTTCAATTACATGCTACGATGCTTCTTCTTACGCTCCGACGAATCTTTTTCTCTAACTTTTGATGAGATGTAGCGAAAAGACTTTACTCGCTTTTGCAAAAATGCCTTCTGCATGGATAATGACTTCAAATCTCTATTACGTCTCTCCACCTACTCAAATTATTATTTTTATATAAAATTTATGATTTTGGCCAACGTCTGACCTACATTCCTTGGGCGAAATCTTTCCACTAATTCCCCGCAAAAATATCATCAAAAGCCCATTCCAATACGAAAAAAATGAAAATTGATGTAAGGCCCACGGAAACAAAAAACTTGCCATATTTTTATTTTTTCTTCTTTCAAGGAACTGCTGAACATTCTTTGTGGTGCAGAGAGCGGACACTACTAGGAAATGTCAGCAGAATAATTTATGAGTTTTTCTCCAAATTTGGCGTTTAGGCAACCCTTCGGGCTCATGCATTTTGGAAAGAGAAACTTTGAATTTTTGGTGTCAGCCTTGTCTACATGATTTCTATCTTATAGTCTTTCAGTGCAATGGATACCTCAAATCTAGGCCCTATTTGAAGTTAAGTTATGACAAAAGGGATATTTTTACATTTTTTACAGTTTTAAATCAGCGTCAAATAATTTGGGTTTCATGTGATGTTTTTGCCTAAGTCAGAACCCCTATCTAACTGTTAGGTGCTCTCCCGTCCCCCCTCCCCAACCCTCCCTACTAATTCTGAATAAAGACCTGCAGGACTTATGAAAATGTTCGCAGTACTTTATACATCTTAAGCTCAAAAATGAGATAATTTTGTAGATTTTATAAAAACTAATGACTTTCGAAAAAAATTCATCTCCCTACCACCTCATCTCCTTAAATGGGGTCGCGAAATTTATAAAATTGGACTACAAGACTTATAAAAATATATACACGTGGTATATAGAGCTCGTAAGTATAATACTGGAATAATTTTTGTAGGTTCTAATTGACTACTACCTTCGCAAAAATTTTGTTGGCATAACAGCCCTATATGTGCAGAAAAAATTAGTCTCCTCCTTTCCGCGGAAAGAAAGACTTTCTGGTACCCTAACTACTAGTGATGCTCGATTCATATGTATGCCTTAAAATGAAATCTTTTCTGTAGAAAAGCCAAACATCTTCTCATCCTATTATTTGCAAAAGATTTCAAGAAATACTTGATAAGATTACTACCTTTAGCAAATTGCCTGTTCTGCCCCCGAGATCACGTGTAGCAAAAGCTAATAATTATACTCTCAATTATCGGCTACACCTTCTCCCTTCATTTGAAGCAAAAGGTGCTCCAGTGCAGCTGAGAAGCGGTTTATTTGGCTCGTAATGTTCCTACCAGAATTTGGAAGCCTTTATTTTATAGAGTTTCTATCTTAGGCATGGGCCGCAGTTCTTACTTGATCCACTTGATCCACCTCTCTATTGGTCGAATCATTTAACCGACCAATAGCGACGGAGATGCCCACTTGATCCACTTGATCCACTTCGCTATTGGTCAGTTCACTGATTTGTCCAATAACGAAGCCTATGAAGTGGATCAAATGGATCCACTACGTCGTATACCTTATTTACATACATATACTAAACATCTAAGATCTCTGACCCGCTAAAAGCTTCCTCGTCGCCTCTATTCACTGGAGCATTTATGATTTCTAGCGACGACTAAGAGCTTTATGCCACAGAATGCTATGTATGAAAACCACTGAAGAGGAAGTCTCGCTTGTTATCCAATTATTCTTGTTTTCAACGCTCTATATCTTGACTCGTTTTCTTACGAGAGAATCATTTGATGATTGGTTTTTGCTTGGAATTCGGTATTTGGCAATCCGGGTGTTGTTGTTGTTCACGAATTGCTTCCATATATGGTTAGTCATTAGCAATGAAGCTCGTCGTCTGATCGCGAGTAGAATTACAAATTTTTGGGTATTTTGGGTTTTTTGTTTGTTTGATGGTTGTTTTGTAGGAATGTCACCTCTTTTACGCTTATTTTGGGGCTCGCTTGACTTGAAAATGTTCCTTCTAAAGGAATAAAGCTTTAAAAGTTGACAAGAAGGCCACAATATTTTTACTAGTTTGTAGAATGTAAGCGAAAGATCCTGAGATCAAACATCCCTTTTTCGCGAAGCAGAGGTTTATATAGTCCGCGCTCAATAACGAGGCTGCGGTGTCGGCAACACTTGCGCGTAAAAAAATGGCCACCGATTACATGTTTCAATTTTTGCGCCTCGTGTCCATATTTTCACGCGCTCCAAAGCTTTAAAAAACTATTACCCAACACCTCCTTTGTTGCAAAGTTGAAATATCAGTCTAGCAAACTTTTGCGCGTAAAAAAATAGCCACAAATTGCACGTTTTCAGTTTTTGTGCCTTGTGACCATGTTTTTACGCGCAAATGTTGTTGGCAACGTAAGAACGTATTAGCATCACATCTACTGAATTGTACACTTTTCCCCGTTAAGACTACAGATTAGACCTTCATCTCATTAACCGTAATACCGTAAATCTTGGTTACTGTAGATGCGACGGAACAATTTTCTTGCTACACAAAATCTGAAAATTTACGATGTACTTTAATCACAAATAGCTTATTATCAACTGCTTGAATTTTTTTAGATCTATTTCGGGAAAAAAATTTTCTCTAAAAACTTCAAATTAATATGCTTTCAAAGGACATCCAGAAACTTTCCAAAAAAATCACCACAATCGCTTTTTTTTACTCTCTGTTGACAAGCATTTGCGAATTCCAGCATTCCAATCATATGTTCGTATTTTGCTGGACGAAGTGAGTATGCGGACCAATTCAATTGTGTGAGAATTCACAACTCACAACAACCACTTATTCCTCATCTGAATAAAGTGCATTCATTCCTTATATGCTGTTTTCATATAGGTACTTTAAGCAAGTGCAATGACCCTATTCGATCGTTCATTTTCGTTTGAGGACTTCCCTATAGAGCACTTCTTTTAAAAAAGAAATCCACTCGTCTTTCTCTGTTTTATTATTCATTGCTTTTCCAAACAAATGTCAATATTTAGGCCAATCCTTTAGCTGCTAGCGCTGATTTTCGAGTCTCAACACTTTACAATTGTTATTTTTTGATTTTCTAAGTGCGAGTCTTTTCAGATGGGCAATGAATCAGAAGAACTTACATGTCATCGATACGTTGATGACCATCCTGATCTCACCAATGAACCGATTGTGATGGTTATTTTTGCCATATTATACATACATATCTTCGTATTAGGCATCGTCGGAAACGTTGCAGTACTGTAAGTTTATTTTTCTCGAATTATACTCATTCGTCGTACGCAGAGAATGGATGCCGCTGCGTACAAATAAGACAGTTTATGTTTATGAGAGACGCAGACGCTTAGAAAATGAAAGAGCATTTGATCTGAGAGACGCAGATAACCCCCACAGTAGCGTCTCGTCTCTGCGTACAATGAATCGCCTTTATGCGTCTTTTTCAGCACTGATTTTACATTTCAGATATTTAACCCTAAAAAATCGCCATCTACAATCTGTGCAGAATATTTTCATTTTGAATTTGGCCGCAAGCGATGTACTGATGTGCCTTACATCATTACCTATTACACCAATCACTAATGTTTATAAGACGTGGTTCTTTGCATCACCCGTCTGCAAACTCATCCCATTGGCTCAGGTAAGTAAACTTCACTAATTTTTATCATTTCAGCAGGGCTTTTCAGGCTTTTCTAACTTCTTAGAACAATTCTCATGCATGGTAATTTGAGAGAGATAAAATTTACAGCAGTTTTTGGGGATCATCTGAAAAGTGCTGCCAGTGCACATACTTATTGATCCAATTTTTGTGTTTCAAAAAATTTCCCAGACTATTTTTCACGCTCGAAGAGCAATAAATATTGCGTGTATGAGGTCAATTACCCTGAGTGTTCAAAGGTCTTATGTTAGGAGGAGGGGGGGGGAGGGGTATCGGTCATTCTGCTTTTTCTGCAAAACTTGGGTTACGGTAGCAGATAAGTTTGGTGGTTCAAAATATTCAAAGGACACTTAAAAGTGTAGAAATTGTGTTAAAATATAAAAGTTTTATCACTAGTCAAAATTTTTTCCTCTTCTGCCCTTCTTCTATAAAAACGCTAAAACCACAAAAATTTCTAGTTGAAGCCTGTGAAGCATCCACAGGGCCCACCAAAATATTTTGATTTTTATAAGCCCTTAATAACTAACTAACTTATTTCCACCGCTTCCGACATGCTAGACAAATTATAGTTTTTTCTCCATTAGTCAATCAATTGAGTAATATCAAAAGATAGCATGTATTCCAACACAAAACGAAGAAACCCGACGTCATCCAGTGAACCGTGCTTAGTCCCAGAACCTTGTGTTTGAATTTCTCCTTTTTTGCCCCCTTGAACTTTATTACTAAGAAGTAAGTGCTATTTTTAATGGCATAAATCGACCAAAAAATTATAAAATTTAAAAAAATGCAAAATTAGGACGAAGGAGCAACACTGACACTATAAATCATCTTAAACTCAATTTTGAGTGTCAAAAAATTCACTTCTGCTTCACCTTCATACCCCCCCCCCCTCACCCACACCTCATCTTTCTTACTACAAAACACTACATAAGAAGTGAATTCTCTCGTTTTCAGGGCGCATCAATATTCGTCTCAACATTCTCTCTATCGGCTATAGCACTTGACAGGTACTTGGCAGACGTCCAAATTTCTGAACTTCCAAAATAATTTGATTTAGATATAACCTCGTCGTTCGACCGCATCGACATCCGCTGAACTCTCGCGGTGCTTCTGTCGTAGCTTTGCTACTTTGGATCATATCTGCCCTGGTTTGTATGCCATATGGATGGTACATGGATGTGGTGCAAATAAATGGACTTTGTGGCGAGGTTGGTTGCAATTTTTCCAGGAAGTGAGATTTTCTCAGGAACTATTCATCAATGCTTTGGCAAAAGTCATCGTTTCGACTTTGGAGAATTCATGAAAATGCAGAACATGCCATGTGAAAGCGCTAGTTTTTCCGGCAATATTTCTCAGCTGAAATGATGCATTAATGAGTTTTCAACTTTGAAACTTCAGTTTTGCACGGAACGTTGGCCACTGCCAGAAGTACGCAAAGGCTATGCATTGATGGTTTTGGTGATGCAGTTCATACTTCCGTTCGCTACGATGGCTGTGTGCTACTACACCATATTCGCACGACTGAGGGAAAGGTGATTTATTTACCAAAGCTCCAGAGCGTAGCTTCTGACAATGAGATTGTATAAAATGGGCATAAAATCCGCTCCAGAAGACATAGCAGGAATATAATTTGAGAAAACAGCACATGTACGTTCTTTTTGTACATAGTTACGCAAATCACGCGCCAATAGCTAATTGTTGATTTTGTTTCCGCATCAGCCTACCGCGCCGCAGCTGCGACGCAACGCAGCTTTTTCGACAACGATCAAAAGCTTCGAATGAGTTCTGTCAAACCAAGAGAAGAGTTCCTCTTTTCAGAGCCGAATCAAAGCTGAAGAAATTGACTGAAAGGACGCAACTTCTTGAAAGTGCTACAGGAAGTTCATCACCATTGAGTAAAACAGTGAGTTATCATGAGCTTACAATAAAAATACTTCAAAAAAATGGTTTTTTAAGGAAAATGGAGGTAATTCATGTAGCTATGAAGAAAAGCAACGTCTTACAGTTCTAGCTTCACAACGTAGGACAACAACTATTCTGGCGTCTATGGTATGTTCGATCGGAATCAAAGCTTAAATTTGAGCTAAAAAAGCTAAATGCAAAGATCATTAACTAAACAAGCACAGCTCTTTTTTGTTTTGAATGAGACAACTGAAGTCATTGGAAATAAACCACCGGGTTTTTGTATCACCTTAGAAAAAGCGAAGACACTGCTGCTTTTGAAGAGACGCAGAAGTCCGCAAAGACACTATTCCAGTGTGTCAGGAAATCTGTTCAGTTTTTGTCTTATACGCGTTCCCATAGGCGTAGGAGCTGGCGAACGCGGCGCGAAGCTCTAGCGTAGCAACGAGTGGATGAGGGAATATTGGCGCTTGACACAAGCTGTATATACCCTCGATATCATCCCATATGTCTTCCCTCAACATGACGTGGATCACGTGGCTTGATGAGGCGCCGCCTCGCCTCGGGCTCGCGCCACGTTGCGAGCGCATCATTTGGCGCGACGTGGCGCTCAACACAATGTGGCGCAGGCTTTTCCACGTTCTTCTTGTTGCCATATCACGCCGAAAATGCGCACGCAACGTGGCGCAAGCCCGAGGCGAGGCGGCGCCTATCAAGCCACGTAATCCACGTCATGTTGAGGGAAGACATATGGGATGATATCGAGGGTAGCTTATAACGTTTATTTTAGTGACATAGCACAAGAGATCAAGAACACTATTTCTTCAAGGTTCATACCCCTATTTCAGGTCCTTCTATTTGGCTTCACATGGCTACCTCATAATGTTTACACTCTAATCATCGAGTACGATGAAGCGATTTTTCATGACGGCGAAAGCGATAACACCTACATTGTCTCAATGATAGCCCATCTGTAAGTCATCATTATTCAACCAGTACATAGCCCTCAATCTATAATTACAGTATCTCGATGACAACCAATGTGGCGAATCCTATACTTTACGCATGGTTGAATCCCTCATTCAAGGAGATGCTGCTCACTTCAATCCGCGGGAAAGTGAGAGCTCCGACGAAATCTGATGGTGCAAAAAATACAGTCATCAGGGTAAAAGAACTTTTTTGGAACTCTTTGGAAAATCTCAAGTTCCCGATTTAGGTCGCAAGATCCGATCCGACCCAGGAGAAGGCCTTTTGAAACATTGCTCAACTGATTTTGCATTGGATATATACTTTCAGTTATTCGACATTATCATTATGACTATTTCCAGCCTTTATATGTTCATCCCTCAACCTTGTTTCATTTTCTGCCCTTCAATAAACATTTCCGATTCAAAGCTTAACCAACTACTAATTAAAGTGTTTTATGGAGTGCACTAGTGTGTACAGGACAATTGAGCAATCAACGATGGACTTATCGGCGTGTTCCATCCTCAAAGAAGACTCCACCATCAATGGCGCAGTATTTGGGACAAATTCCCTTCTCGCCACCATGTCCGGGTGGGCCAGCATGTCCAGGAGTTCCAGGATTACCGTCGTGTCCGGGTGGGCCATCTGGTCCTGGAGCTCCTTTGGGTCCGGGTTGTCCTAAATTGCAAAAAAATTTGGTATCATATGGGTCAAGCAGAGTATAAAGAATTTTACCAGGCTGTCCGTCGGCTCCGGGTTGTCCAGGAGTTCCTGGGGGTCCAATTGGACCAGGTGGTCCGGGTGGTCCAGGCTCTCCGGGGGTGACTCCTGCTCCCTCGACATATGCGTCCTCGCCAGGTTCGCCAGGCTGACCAGGAGCTCCAGGGTTTCCAGGTGGTCCAGGTGGTCCCTTGGGTCCCGGCTGGCCGGGTGCTGAATCAGCGCCGGGTGCACCGGGCTGTCCGTCTGGTCCCGCATCTCCAGGTGGCCCTGGGGGTCCTGGTGGTCCAGGAGGTCCAGCTGGGCAAGGCTTGCAAGGTGGTGGAGTGATTGGCTCACATGGCTTCTGTGGTGGACGGCCTGGATTTCCAGGCAGGCCGGGCACGCCGGGTTTTCCGGGGCGACCAGGTTTTCCAGGAGTTCCGGGTCCTCCAGGAGGTCCGGGCAGGCAGCATCCGCTACATCCACCTCCACTGCCTCCGCTACCTCCACCATTACTGCCGCCGCTTCCGCCTCCAGCTCCAGCATCATACCCGGCAGCACGAGAGGTCCTGTTGCTCGGCAGTTTAGCCATGTCATTCACCTCGGACCAAATATTCCTGGCTGAACCGCGACAAAAAGTAATATCAGAGTTGATTTGTCGCTTCACATAGCTCACGTAATTGTAAACCATTGGCAGAGTAAAGCATACAGATAGTACAGCAACGATAGAGAATGTAACTGCCGCATACGAAACAATACGGTACGCTTTAATGCGGTGTTCGAGATCCATTCCCAAAATAGACGACGAGGAACTGCACGAACCTCATTGCCCCTCAGGCACTTTTATATGGAGGTGAACTGAATATTTGCGCGTCAGACACCTAGTATCAAGTTTTCGCTCACTCAGCATGTTTTCGGTGACGATAACTCGGAATGTTGCGCAAACACAAGAGGTGACAACGAGGTGATTGACACTTTGACTGTTGTAAAAGTGAATGTGATAGCAGTCCGCAAAACTCATCTCTTAAAACAACAAAAATCATGAAATTTATGTAAATGCAATATTGAACGGATGAATGAGAAAAAACAGCAAACAACATGAGCAAAAGTTTGGACAAATGAACATAACTCATTGCGGATATGTGGAAAGCGTAAACAGACAAACTAAGTACATCAATTTTGATTATGTCTTATATATAATTAATAGCCAACCGATTTGAGATCGCACATAAACATCTGAGAAAGTTTGGGAATGCATTGCGGGGTAAGAATGTCAAGATTCGAAGTAGCAGGGCTGGTAAAGAATGACGAAATGCATTTTCAAGGCATTCAAGGAAAGGCAAAATCTTTTAAGATGAAAGTCCCAAACAGAGAACAAATTTGGATCCAAATTCTAATTCACGCTATTTCGGATTCGATGAGAAATGAAAACCCAAACAACGAGGTATAACACTTACCTTGTCTTTCACAGTCATCAAGCGAATTAGAACAATTGAACATATTAAGAAATAGACTAATTACAAAAACTTAAACTTGTGCTCCGAATCAAACGAAAACACGATTCTCGCAATTTGCCAAAGCATACTCTTCGAGACAGTCGAGAAAATCCTGTAAATATCATCATCACAAAACTTCCTGTATCAACCGCACACATACCTCATTAGCGTCCTTCCTCAAGACACTCGACGGTACGGAATCGATCCTTTCCTTCCTGGGACCCTTTCCTTGGTACAAAACAGTATATACAAGTTCACCTCCTTCCCGACGAGCGTTCAGCAGAGCCGCGATTTTCTTGCCCTCTTGGACTTGGTTTGATTTAGCGTCTTAGAAAATGAAAAAAATTTATATCTGTTGGTCTTGAACCATCCTCTCTCCCTTCTATGATATCTAAATCGAAAGGGCATGTGCGCTTTACTTCTTCCATGACAATCGCACCTCATAAAAGAGAGTAATGTAAGACGACGTGTTATATGCGTAAACAGTTGGTTGTATTACCTATTTCCGATAAACCATATTCTTAGCCACACCGTATATCTACGTCCAAAAAACGGTACTCAGAGGGAATAGAGTTTTGCACTGCTCAGAGAGATGAACCCCTACGGAGTTCAGCCAACCCGAACTTTAAAAAATCAAAGTAAAACGTGTTAATTTTCACACAAATCAGAGGGTTCATTTATACAATGGTGTGTGAGATGCAAAAGAAACATTCATGAACTTCTAGTTTTTTTTTCTCTAAAATTTGTTTTGAACTTTGCACTACGTTCTAAGCTCTGCATAAGATGGCTTCCGCAAGTTTGCTAATCTTGTTTTCATTAGATCTATGCACGAGATATAATGCTTGCGTCGGTGCAGAATCGCCAGCATAAACTGATTTATAGTTTTGGTCCATGGTAAATGACGTTCACCCGCTCATTTTCCTACAAGCATCTTTTCCCGACTACATTGTGCCATTTGTCAATAAAGAACTCAGGCAAATGTCAAAATTTCTCATACTCAAGGCAGCCGCTTACTGTACTACTGCGGTTGTCAATATGCCGCTATTGCAGTCCTCGTTCCGCGAGCGATTCTTCGTTTGATTAAAAATGGTGTTGAAGAGTAAGAATTAGGACTTCTGTGCTCCCAGCGTTATTCCCAGAACTTCAATTGTCTTCAAAGCGTAAAAATAGAATTTGAGAATTTGACCTACGCAACGCATACGGCTGGCACAAGATATCGTTCATGTTGGCTGCCCCCTCTCCCCTTCCCGAAAGCATCTTTCTGCTTCACCGCAGTCTTCCTAACAAGGAAAGGATTCTCAATGACCATTGAAAATGAGGTGTACATCATAAAATCTTAAAAGCTTATTCTGATACCTTCAAAGTCTGCCAAACAATCTTCTGAAGGAAGTTATGAAAATCTTTGTAAAAAAAAGTGCATTTCTGGAGTCGAAATCATCAGTGTTCGTCTAATTCAGGTCTTGATGCTACGAAAAAATTCGAGGCTGAGAACTATTGTCTTTAGACTAATTGAACCAACTTCAGCAGTTACAAAAATAGGAAAACTTTGCATCCAAGGATTTTGACCCTGCGTAAAAGTGCAACATTCCCTTAAAAAAATCATACTTCAGTTACATAATCGTTCCGCAGATGTAGAAGGTACTCTCTCGAATTTTTGAAGGCACATTTATTAATACATGCCTTATTATGGATCACCAAAGTAGCCACCATTGTAAGTCTCAATTGCCTTAACAAGGAAACTACGTATCTCCGGAACCATCTACAAAGATCACCTATCTTGGCTCTGCTCCTACTGCTCCAACTCACTCACACCACCCGCGCCCGAAAATCTTAACTCATAACCAAACATCACGTAGAAGAAGCCTGCTTACCTGTTTTCTCTTCCGCCATTATTGCGTCGACCTCATCCAAGTCGTTTTTGTCATCATAGCCCTTTGACACAGTGGTACTACGCGTCAAACGCATGCATCGCTGAAAAGTTTGAATAAATTTCACTGTTTGTCTACCCGCTTTACGACTTACTCGAGATGTTTTTGCTTTTTTTCGAAGTGGATACGGCTTTTTCCAGCTAAATCGTAGAATCAGATATGGTGAACTGATTTCGATTCAACAAATATATAGAAAATCTAATTAAGCGGAAAATATACATAAAAATAAATACTAGGTTGGCTAAAAATAATTTCGTTTTGGCATGGAAATCTTCATAAAAGCTTTCATAATAGTTTTCTATCCATGATTTTTTCTAGAAAGGTAAATCAAAGCTTTTTCTATCATAAATCAACTGTTCAGAATTTTCAATTATTAGTAAGGGCCCCAACATTTATAAATCCAAAAGCTCAATTCTGCGAATTTCTAAGCTTTGTTTTCATATTTAACGGATGTATAGTATAGCAGTTTGGGGGTGTATGTCAAGAGGCGCGATTTTTATTGCCAGCTGGACATCAAATTGCACATTTTGAATGTTTAATAATGTTCTAGGGGCCTTTCAAATCTCTGAGAAGTTATAGAAGATCGTTGCATGAGCTGCCTGATCTTATTATTTTGAAAAAGATCCAGAACAGAAACATTGGAGGTCAAAAACCCATGAAAATCCAAATAATGGCAATTTCGTGAATATTTCGCTCATTTTTGCAGCAAAAGCCTTGAAACTCAGCACATGGTAACTTCGAACAGCTAGCAAGCTAAGCGACTTTCTCTAAAAATTTTTGAAAAATTGTGTGGTGTAGAACAGGGCTCGGCACGAGGTGGCTAGATGAAAATGGAAAAAACGAAGTCCCCCTTGACTTTTGGGAATTTTTACGAAGTCCCCTTTGACCCTCAACCAAATCTTATATATAAAGCTGAATGTCTGTCTGTATGTATGTCTGTATGTCTGTCTGTACGTATGTGCGGAATAGAAATTTTTATTTCTGAACCGATCGGGACCAAACTTGGCACACATATACTTCGGGGCAGGGAGCGAGTCATAGGCTACTTTTCGTTATCGATCGATATCGATTTTATCGATTTTTTGCAAAATTTGAGCTAGGGGGCTGGGATTTTGCACAGGGGGGTAATCGAACATGCTGATCACCCCCACGGGGGTGATCAGCATGTTCGATTACCCCCCTGTGCAAAATCCCAGCCCCGTTATGACACGCTCCCTGCCCCGAAGTGTATGTGTGCAAAGTTTGGCCCCGGGCGGAGCCGGGTTTGCCATCTAGTTTCCTCTAAAAACCTGAAAAATTCCCCAAAATCCCCCAAAAAACGAAACGTCGACTAAAGAAAAGGTCGCCGTCGCCCGCCAATTTTCCGTGTCTCTTCGGTCACAAAAACGAAACCCCCTTTGCTTTTCGTCCCAAAAAACGATACCAGTTGGCTTACAAGCCACCTGTGCCGAGCCGTGGTGTAGAAATGGGCTTTTAAATTGGTGACAGCCAGGAAAATCGCGCCTCTTGACCGTCTCCCGCAATGGGTTTTTGCCAAGTAGGGAAAACTTGGTGTGTGGATACAGGGCAAGTTTTCCCTACTTGGCAAAAATCAATGAAAATTGTGATCTGCCCTTTCAGAATTCTTTGGCCAAAAAAGGCAAATTTTCTCATATTTGTATGCATTGAGAAAACTAGGGTTTCTCAATTCTTTGCGGATTTCTTTCATTGCAAAACAAACCCCACTTAACAAATTCCATATTCCAAACCTCATTGAAGTGCTCTTTCCAGAGGTACCGAATATTGGATAAAAATCTGCCTGCAGCATGTAGGAGCAGCAAAAGCGAGCGAAATTATTTATTAGCCAACCTAATAAAATAAGTGAAATAAATTGATGAAGAAAGCAAAAATCATCAAAAAAGGAAAGATTACGAGTAGGACTTACGTCGGCGATTCACTGAACCTGGCTGCCCTTCTCTTTCTATGAAAAGCTGCAATGGCTTCAGGACACTCCTGCAATTTTATATCATAATTTCTGGTAAAAAAAATTGATATAGGCTTACACAATGCTTAGCACTCTCCCAAGTCGCTTCTTCACGGCTGAATCCTTTCCAAAGTATGAGATATTCTCTCTCACCTCGATTTATCCTGGTATCCAGTATTTTCTCCACAATGTAGTATACACGTATCTCTGTAATGAATGACGAGATAGATATACTAAGAGACAAGCGCTTGGGAAACTTTACGACAAAAATTTGCGTGTGGAAATATTGAATAAGCTAGCATCCCGAATTTCTTCTCTAGCAGCTGCCTTTGGGACCTCCAATGATATGCGAGCTATTGGCTACCTTTCCCTTTCCCCAATTAAGGTCATAAAACAGTGCAGACCGCTGTCGCAAACTAATGGTCAAGACCGCATCTTATGTGATCTCATCATCGCATTATAGCTAATTCGATAGAAAATTCGGGTACTTTTCCGTTAACCGGACCCATTTTTTCAAAGGGCTCTCACATAATACATTCTTTTCTTTAGACTAAAGATAATCTTTCATAGATTCTTTGAGGACTGCCTCCTTGCCACGTGTCACAAAAAATTGACATGTTTTGGTCCCTTCTGTCAAGCTTTTATTTCGAAATCATTCCCGGTGAGGTAAAAGAGGATTTGTGATCACCTAAAAGTTGTTTAACTGTTTTTTATAAGAACAAAACAATCTTGAACTCATTAGAAGATGCCTTCAGCAGTAATTCAAAAATGTCAATCTCTTCAAATTCTTTTCCATGCGAATCCAACCAGAAAAGAACTATAAATGAAGGCTTGAAGAACCTTGCTGGTGCTTATCTCGTCTCTTTGACGAAATCCTAGCGCACTTCTCTATTCTGAGCAAGTCTGATCTGTCCTTCCGTAATAGTATGCTGTTATTACTATGACAATGTTCACTTTGAGGTTTTTGAACGAAATGAGGTCAAAACTGACTAAAAAACAGACTGAGCTTACGTCGCTAGATAGGTGAACAAACTCTAGTTAAAACCTGTTAAACATGTAGATGACATGTCAATTTTTTTGACACGTGGCAGAAGGGTTGACACTCCTTGCTGTGAAGCTGGTACCAAATATTGTATAAGGATGGAAGCAATACCCATCTTTAAAATGGATCCGGATAACGGGAAAATATCGAAATTTCTAGTACATCATTTAAGCAATGATCCCAATAATAGGTAAGGCACATAAGTTAAGTTTCAGAGAAATTTTGTAGCAACAAAAAATGTGGATACAAGGAATTATCTACTATCACCAAAAGTCACAATGTTTACTACTGCGTAACCATTGCTACGCAATCAACAAGAAATTGGAGAAACTTTCAAACGACCTCACCTTCGGATGACATTTCTTTAGAATCGCAAGCTCGGCGCGAATCCCGCACGTCACCTTTAACTGGAAAATTGTTAGACTTCTAAGAGCCAACTTAAACACAACGTATAGACGATTCGTAGGACGCAAAGACTGTGGACGTATCGGCGTCTCTCTGATCGAGCGCTATTTCGTTTCTCTTACCATCTGCTGTCTCTCCCATGCACAAACTATCTTGGTCAGACGCAACGGCGCCCAGTCTTTGCGTGTTATGAATTGCGGATACAATTTATTAGTTGCAGCAGAGACAAAAAAGAGAATCTATTACCTAACTAGGAGACTCGAGACGCTTTGCATACATTGTCTAGACAAGCTTGAACGTGTTCTTCCGTGAATTCCAAGTCGTCATTCTATATGTGTTAAATCACAAGTATGAACTTGTCAGTACACGACTAGCCCGCTTACAATGTGTGCAATGCGTACCGACTTTTCTAGTCTCAGAATAACTGACATACCCTCGATATCAACCCATATGTTTTCTCTCAACATACGTGGGATTACGTGGTTTGATGAGGCGCCATCGCGCTTCAGGCTTGCGCCACGTTGCGCGCGCATCTTTGGAGTGGAGTTGCAACAAGAACAAATTAGGAGAGCCTCCGGCACGTTGTTTGAAGCACCACGTCACGCCAAACGATGCGCCCGCAACGTGGCGCAAGCCCAAAGAGAGGCGAGCCTCACCAAACCATGTAATCCATGTCATGTTGAGGGAAAACATATGGGTTGGTATCGAGGGTAGTTGCTTTCAACCCGGAGAGTAGGCGAAACATTTCACATGGAGCGGCTCGTCACACCGCTGGAGGCTTTGCGAGCGCACAGCACTGGCATTTTGCCAAACAAAGACTGAGGAGAAAGAAGAGACGCAGACGTGGGTTCTCAGCACGATAAGCACACGCCATATTGATCGACTTGATCCGCTTGTTTCACTAGATTAACTTGGTCCGCTTATTTACTTCGTAGAACGCGCAGTAAGTAATCTTTCAATTACATAGGTAAAAAAATGTCGCAAATTCGCTATACGCGACACCAAATGACAAATTAGTCACGACGCGTTTTGCACGAAGTGGATCAAGCGAACTAACTGGATCAAGTGGATCAATTATGCCGTGCGCTGTACTATTTGATTCAACTGGCTTGGCTTCGAGAAGGCGAAACTTCGTGACCTAATTAAGGCTAGGTAATGATCAGAGAGCACTCGCGTGAGAGAGACGCAAGCGCGTCGCGGGCGCGAGCGGCCTTAATTAAGTCACAAAGCTCCGCCTTCTCGGAGCCAAGCCAGTTGAATCAAAGGTTATGTATCATCTTCCAGATTCCTATACAAGCTTCCAGATTCGTATACAGGCGGAGTTTTGCCAGCGCAAAGCAATTGACAGTACTACCAGTAATGTTACCAATGTTCCTAGTGTTACACCGTGGCTAGTATTATCGTCACTATTGTTCATTTCCTCATCCCCCCCCCCCCACCTGTTACTAGTGCCCAGCTTCAAGTTAGGCCATTGCAGTCGCATTTTTCCATTCGCGACCTTCTAAACTGGTGTGTGCCGACTTTGTCGGCACCTTCCTTGCAATCATATCATTACTTCTGCCTGAGCACCGTAAATGTCATGCCATAAGCATGACCTGCTGTGATATGAGTATGCTATTGCCCAGATGTTTGTGATGTTACTTTGACACGCCTATCATACTCAGCATTCTACCACTGCACGAACGGGTGCATGTCGTCTGACTCAATAAAGCTACTATTAGCTATGTGTTCTGTATAACACACTCCAAAAGGCGCTATATCGCCTCAGGCTACTATAAAGTCATCGAACCACCGATACATGGTGAATTAGTTTACTTTTAGGTACAGTGAGAGAGCAGCAAGAAGGCAGACGTGTTTCAAGCGCAATAACTTTGGTAAGGATGGTAGGAACGGAGATGAAACGGTCAAAATGAACAACGGTATATAGCACTGATAACACTGACACACGGGTAAAAGCTAATCCAAGACGAAGGCGGGCCACCCATGCACGCGAGGCGTGCTCGGGTACGAGCCCCAATAATGAGAGATGCTCAAACACGCGGGTCACAACCGCGCCGCGCATTGAACCAACCGCCTTCAAGTAGGAGACTATACGCCGTCGAAAGTGGGACACTGCCGGGTACGCCGGACATCTGCAACAAATACACACTCCAATACATGCACAGGCTGAGTACCTGCTGCATTGTCCGCGCGGGAACCTCCCGCTTTCGGCGACATATAGTCATCTACCCCCTGCCTTTGTCTGAAAGAGCTTTTAACCTAACAACATCAGTGACCCTTATGCATGCTGAAGCCTTTGCCTGTGGCTCTCTATTAGGAACTCAGTCTGTCAGAAAGAGTGATTTGAGAGCTTTGATAGAGATTCTATAGCAGCCGTCAGTTGAAGACCTAGAGAAAAACGTTAACAGCGGGAATACCCCCTTCCACATAAGGATGACGAAACCTTAAAACCTTTTTTCCCGTCGCAGCGTTCTCCTCCAGAAGTCCATCAGCGCGGATCAGAGATGCTGAACGAGTTAAAAGATGGGAGAAGGATAGAGCTCAGGATAGTGAAACACCTGCTGCGGTGAAAATCAAGCACATAAGATGGATCATTGGTAGAGAGACCTCCTCCCACGCTTACGCACTTCAACATGAACAACGACATGAAAGACGAACTCAGCAAAGATAGAGAATGGCATGGGCAGCATTCGAACCTCAAGAGAGACCACAGACCATCTCGCTGACCCGATCATATTTCTAATGCTAGGTAACTTCCTAGCACTCAATACGCAGCCGAAACTGGGCCGACACCTTAAAGGCATTGTCAGGGCAAGAATCGATTCTTAGAAAATCCACTTACCGGGGGTTATCCGCAACGCTGAATCCGAAAATCTACATTAGAAGGCGCAAAAAAGGCGAAAACATGGCAAAGCCTTCCAAAGCCTTACAGTTTGAAATTCGGCGGTTCACGCCAAGGCTGAGACGCAGAGTCGCTATGGGACCCTACGATTTTGACTGTTGCGGCATACGTACCCTGCCGCATAGCAGCACTTCGGACAGCTCAGAACACCCCGCCCCAAGGGGGCTTTAGTTTCCCCACTTTCCGGTCGTATTCTTACTTTAGGTCGAGGTCTATGACGTCGCGCCTGCGCGATGTTGTGTCTGAAGGGGACCCCTCTCGCATGGCACTGTAGTCCCAAAACCCCCATCTTGCCCGGATACTGCCTTTAACTACCACGAAGCCGTCACGAGCAGCGCAGAGGCACTCGAAAGGAAGCTTTTGAACATGAACAAGTTCAAACAGTATCGGCTGGAATCCGAAGTTCCGACCTACGGCAACTTTCGCGTCCACATAATGCACCAGAGTGGGTATCGGAGAACAAACGATAGGCCGCCAAAGAACGAGAAGAGTCTGCTTCAGCATTTCCAGCAGTCGTAACCCCGTACCAAGCGTTCGATGACGATTGTCCGAAATCGAAGATTAGCTAAAACTTGGTGGCGCGCACGAGAGTATGAAAAGACTATTAAACGATAAGTAATCACAGTACATATCATTGACTCGCAGATGGGTGCGGTGACCGGGATGCTCAATCGATAAACATTTTAACAACTATGCGTGAACAATGCACAACCGCAACGCTGATACGCTCCCCCGACTCCGCCCTCGCGACAATCTGGGAGCCAGTGATAAGCGTATAGGCATGTAAAATCCAAATTCTCTTTTCGTTTTGAACACCAATGAGCGCAACGGCTAGAGTGGGGTCCAGCGCAATAGGTTCGTGCACAGTGAGCACGAGCTGCTGCTCTTTCGGAGTTTTTTTTTTATAAACTTTTGGAATCACTTTTGGTTAATAATATGCAAGGCTAAAAACAACATGGATGTTGACCAAAAATTCATGAGCAAATGAAACCGAAAGCCTTGGGCATATCTCGAGCGACGAAGCGTGCCCGAAGAGGCGATTAAAAGTGCGACAGAGTCGCCCCTCGCTCGCCCACGTGCATACCTCTGACGCGATGTCGTGCGATTGCGCAACACTTCGCACGTCGAATATATCGTCCAGTCAATACTCTCCTGCACATATAATGCAGAGAACCAGCCAATTGACGACCCGCACCGCCCTATTTTACGCAGTTGGCAATAGCCAATTAGTTTCAACAAAACTTCTCGCTACATTTTTTATGATATCATGTGAAACAGTTCTTTGGATATGCTAGTTATTGGAAAACATGAACAATGACGAAGGTTATAAACGAGCCTGGTAATGAGCTCCGAGATTTTGTGAAATTTGCTTCTTAGCTTCTCAGATAATCGCCGGGAGCAGGCGGCCATGCGATTTATGGGCGGGCGGGCACCGGAAAAATTCGCTGATTTCTTGCGGTCCGCTTGCAGATATTTGGAAGAATTTTAGCGAAATTTTAGACGAGTGCTTGAAGAACAATCGCGGTTTTCTTATAGATTAGCTGCGGCGCAGTGGCCGCATTCTCGCGGACTTTCCGCGAGAATATGCATTTTTGGAACTGCACGGTCCTTTGTGGAGGACCGCGCAGCCACCACTCAGACAATCGCCGGGGGCAGGCGGGCACCGGAAAAATAGATTGCTGATCTCTCGCACCCCGCTCGCGGATTTTTTGGAAAGCAATCAGGACTTTTCGGAAGACCGCTTGCTGAGTTCTCGATTCCTCAGAGATTCAGCAATATATCTGCAAAAGATAAGAGCGAAAAAATTTCAACAGGCGGTCTCTCAAAAATCCGCTGACTCAGCAAGCGGTCTTCCGAAAAGTCCTGATTGTTTTGCAAAAAATCCGCGAGCGGGGTGCGAAAAATCAGCAATCTATTTTTCCGGTGCCCGCCTGCCCCCAGCGATTGTCTGAGCAGGTACTTTCCGCTGAGAGAAAGTACCTCAAACTTGAGTAATTAAATTAAGGGTGACACCTCTGCCACACAGAGTCTTACCTGTGCTCGAAGTATGCCCGAAACTGCGCAAAAAACGCCCGAGCGCCTGCTGAATGTTTGGCCAGCGTTCGCAGAAA